CTTTGTCTTCCTGCATAGGCTGTAGGTTGTGGTAAGTAACAATAGGGGTTGAAAAGTGACTTCTCATCCAGCTTCTTCTCCCAAAGCCACTTTGATAGGTGATTCAAGTTCACCTAGGGTTGGCCATTGATCACCATAACCCATTCACCCTGGTGGTCCTCAGTCATGCTCCCTTACCTTCATAGAACATTCTAGATTGCTCTTCCTCCTAGCTCCCTCATGAAGCCTGTGATTCCTTCCCCTCCTTCTCTTCTCTTCTGCCCTCTCTCAGTCCTTGACCTGTTGTCTTCAAAGTCTACATTCCAGTCTTGGTGGAACCCTGAAAATACACAGTATTAATTGTCGTATTTTTTTTTAAAGAGGGCACTGTGGGCCTATGAGTAAAGGGAATGAATAGGATGGGGAGACAGTTATGCACAGATCCCTAGTCATCCAAGATTCTGAGAATGGGGGAGATCAGCTCAGAAATCTAGGAACCAGTGGCCAAGTCCCTACAATCCTCTTCTTTAAGCAATAAGAGCAGACTGTACATGGTGGAGCATTTTCTCTCCCCTGCCCCACCTTCCACCCACACAACTATCCAAAGGCACTGCCCCAAGGAAGGAAAGGGAAAATATAAACTTAACGCCTTATGCTTCGATAGCTGTTATAGGTCTAGCTTTTTCCCATACATGATCTTACTTGATCCTCAAATCCCCACAGCTGTGGAGACAGGCCCAGGAAGGTTAAGCAGCTCTTTCTGAGAAACGAAGCCATCTAATTGGCAAAGCCAGGGCTGGACCTCAGTCCTTCTGATTCTGGTCCTGTGCTCTCCACCACACTGTGGGGCATTTGCTTTAGCCGTCAGGCAAGATAGTTTGGAAAGCTGCCCAGTCCCTTTTCTCTTTGCTGGTACAAATCATGTGCAGATGCTTGCTTTCCAAAAGAGATGGCAAATTGAAAAGGAGAAGATGGTAACTACAAACTAATGAAAGACCCCATTTATATCCCTGTAGAAAAGTCAATCAGTAGACAACACAGAACTATGTGCATAATGGAAGAAAAGTTTCTGTTTATTTTTGCGCTGTCAATGAGCACTTCCAGACATTGGAACTCAAAACATCTCCTAGTCGTGCTCCGTTGGAAGCCTCGAGCTACAATTAAGGAAGCATGGGTCTTTTTCTTCATTATTGTTATGGAGCAACGATCTGACCTGACCTAAAACAGGATCTGCTTACACAGAAGAAATAGACTTGCCGGGTGGGTTGATAAAAGAACTCACTCCAACTTATTAGAATCACATTCAGGAGAAGGCTAACATTTTCCCAACTTGTACAGTCAGCTCAGGCTATTCAGGTTGTCCTTTCTGCCAAGCCCTGGTTGTCCTTTCTTCTATCTTTTGCCGACCACAATATGATCCCTTCCATGCTGTTGACACCCCCATTAGCCGGTAGAGATTCGAGTGCCCAGGCTTCTGGGAAACTTTACTCTCTGGGACACAGTCTCAACCCTGAATGTATTTGGAAAAAGTGACTGGACAGTAGAGCAAATCGCTCTCCCCGGGCCAGGTCACTTTTCTCACTGGGAGAGTTCTGTCACTCCTCTTGCTACGTGTTCTTCACAGGTACTGTAATCATCATTTTAAAAAATAATATTTTTAAAAACAGAAATATTTTTGCAGTGGGATTTGTTTGCCCACAGCTGGCAATTAATGTTAATTATGGGCATCGTCCCAGTGGTTCCCAGTTTCCTTTATATATAAATCTTGGCAAGATGTTTAATGTCTATGAAAAATGGTACCGATTTGTCAACACCTAACCAGTGATTACGCTGCATTGTCAGAACAACCTTGTGTCCCCATTTATGCAAGAAAAATGACGGTCATGGTTGTACTTGAAATACATGGCTGGGGATTGTTCCTCTCACATGCCCCTAGCATAGCTGGGTATCTGTGCCCTCCCTGTACATCCCACCCTGGCCGCCATGATGGCTCTCACAGCATCCCCTCTCTTCTTGTCATTGTCTTGGACTTCTGCCTAACCCCTGGCCCCCACCTGCACAGCCTTAACGCTGAAACAAAACTAGAGATCAGCCAATTGGGCAACGCCAATCTATCTTCAAGGAGTGGATCCTGAAAATGAAAGTAAGTTCATTTAACTTAATAGCTCCAGTAAAATACCAAATGGGCTACAAGGTCAAAACCAATGCCTTGAATGAGGTTTATGTACTATCAACTCATTTAAGTGCCCCATAATATGCTTGCCTTGCTGTCACAGAAACCAGCTGTGTTTAAACAAGTTGGCTTGATGCTAAAAGGTGATTTTTATCTGTGTTTGATGAAACCCAAACAGCCACCATCAGTATAAGCATTTAAGCCCTAAGCAGGCAAGTTCTGATCACTTCTTGAGACAAGGAGAATAAACCAATAAACATGCACCTGTAGCTTTACCCATCATTGGCTAAGATGGTTTAGTTGAAGCATTGTCCCTCTGACTTGAGATGTACACCATTTGATGGATTTTTCTCTTTTAATAAGCCACATGATTAAGACTTACAAAGGTGGAAGGGCACCTGGGTGGCTCGGTCGGTTAAGTTCCCGACTTCGGCTCAGGTCATGATCTCACGGTCTGTGAGTTCA